AAACTCACGCCAGGCGCGTGTGCGTGCGTGCCCAAGATCCCAAGAGGAGAATGGAGGAGAAGGGATTGCGGCATGACCATCCCCCCTGGGGGGTGATTTCTCGCTTTCTGTCTCTATGTCTCTCTCTGTCTATCTGGCAAGCGCACACGCCCTATAGCGCAAAACCTCTCCAAAAAAAAAAAAAAAGAATGAGGCTTTTAGGACCAGCAGATAGCATAAGTTATGTTGCTGGACTCCCACGTAGTCGACCATGGTTTGAGTCCCAGACCCAGTGGCGTAATACTCATGCTGGGCACATGTGCATGCATGCCCAAGATCCCGAGAGGAGAATGGAGGAGAAGGGATTACGGCATGGCCATCCCCCCTGGGAGGTGATTTCTCACTTTCTGTCTCTCTAGTGAGCATATGCATCCTATAACAAAAATCTCTCTCTAAAAAAAAAAAAAAAGAAGAAGAAGTTTTTTGCTACTACCTAGATCTCACATCTTTCTCATCTTTCTTGCTGGTTTGCTGCTAGGACTGCTGGTACAATGATGAATAAAGGTGGTTCTTGTGGGCAGCCTTGCTTTGTGCTGATTTTAAAGGGAACATTTCTAACGTTTCACTGTGGGACAGGAAGTTTACTGTATTTGATACAGGTCAAGGAAGTGCCTTTCTTATTCCTCATTTGCTGAAACTTTTTATCAAGAATGAGCATAAATTTTATCAAATAGTCTTCTCCTCCCACTGAGTGAATTATTTGTTTTGTTTTGTTTTAATCCAATAAAGGGTTGTGATATTTTAGATTTTTTTATCAATATATTTTGAGAATCCCTACATTACCTACAAATGCCTTGTACTTCCTATAGAAGAGAGCACCTCTTCTAGGGTTTCCTCAGAGTCTTTAGCATAGGGTGGTTTTCTCTGATGGCATTATCTGAGTGTTTTGTTGGATTTTTTTCTCCTCTTCCTATAAACCAACTTTTACTCAGAGTTGGTGATCTCAACAACAGTTAATGAGTTGCCCTTGATCATCTCTGAATTTATGGTTCTAAACCCTGGCAGACATGCATCCATTTCTCCTAAGCTACCCTGCACCGACATCTCCACTACACTACCTGGTTTCTGATCGCTCACGTCAAATTACAGGTGTCTGCAGTCCAAGAAATCTGGTTGCCTATTTTTTTCCTTTATTCATGATAGAGCACATGCACACGAGACAGAGAGAGAATGGAGCACCCTCCACAGGGTCTGGTCATGCTGCAGTCCTCCTCCTCCAGCCCTCTGTTCCATCAGATCTTGAGCATTTGCATGTGAGCCCAGTGAGTTTCCAGCTGCCCAGGGAGGGATTCAAACCATAGTCATCATGTAGGACCCAGCTTCTCTTGAGCAGTGCATTACCACTGTGCCATTGAGCCGGCCCAGGATAACCTCATTTTAAAACTATTACACCAGGTGGCATGATGGTTAAGACAGCTGGATTTCACATAGCCGAGTGCATGGTTTGAGTTGGGGATCTGGCATTTTGGAAGATATGCATGTACATATGTGCCCAAAATCCCTAAAGGAGAGTGGAGGAGAAGGGATTGCGGCGTGGCCATCCCTGTTGGGGGGTGCACATATTACCCTTATTTTAGAGCGCGAGAGAGATTTTTTTCTTTTTTTTTTCCTTTTCTTTCTTTCTTTTTTTTTTTTTGCTATAGGGCACATGTACATACCAGAGAGACAGAAAGCGAGAAATCACCCCCCAACAGGGATGGCCACGCTGCAATCCCTTCTCCTCTCGGCATTTGGAGCATGCGTACAGACAGTGGGCATGAGTTTTAAGTCACCGGGCCTTGGACTTGAACCTCAGTCGACTCTGTAGGAGTCCAGTGATGTAACCATTACACCATCTGCTAGTCCCCATATTACGCTTTTTTAAGATAAACAATTGTTTCTTTTGGTTCAGATTTAGTGATACAACACCTAGAAAGATCTCTAAAGGTCAAAGAAAAACCCATTGATCATAGTCTTTGAAATGTTGCATACTGGTGTAAAATTAGCGTAGGTCCTCTCCTGTGCAAGGTTTGGCCTCTTACTAAAGCTCTTACTGGGAACTTCCCCTTTTAGAATACCAAAGCATCACCAAATTTCCCTCCCCTTTTGAACCATTGTATTAGTTGTTTATTGTCATGTACTAAATTAGCACTAACTGAACAGCTTAAAATAATACCCATTAATTAGCTAACAGTTCTGTAAGTTAGAAGACTGGTTACAACTCACCTGGGTTTTCTGCTCAGGGTTGCAGAAGCTGAAATCACAGTGTCAGTGGGCTGAGTTATTATCTCGAAGCACCCTAGAAGAATCTGCTTCATGTTCATTCATGGTGTTGGCAGAGTTAAGTTCCTGGCAGTTGCTAGCTGAGGTGCTCACGTGTTTGCTGTCTGACACCCGGAGGTCATGCCCCTAGAGACCATCTGCACTCCCTGCCATGCAGCCCCCTCCTTCATCAAAGAGGAATTTCTTGCACATCAATGCCCCAACACTTGGCATTTCTGACTTTCCCTGTCTCTGACCTCTAGACCCAGATTTAAAGAGTTCATAAGACTAGGTAAGGCCCCAAAGTGACCTCCCTTTGACTAACTCAAAGTTAATCAACTAAAAGTAACCCGGTCCTATCTGCAAAATCATTCTTATCTGGTCACATAAAATAATCACAAGAGTAATATCATATTTGCAGGTTCCACCTACAATCAAAAGGAGGCTATGCAAGGATACAGGTCACGGGGGTTCATTTTAGTATCTGTCTAAAACAGCCATTCTGAATAAAACAGCAGCAGCACAGCACTGCACCATGTGAGGCCTCGTGGGAAGGTCCTGGTTAGCGTCCCTGAGGTCTCCCTGTGTGCCAGGCACCTGAGCATGCCTGTCATCCTGGCCAGCTGACACTTACGGAAGATCAGTGCACGCAGCCCCTGTTGGGAATGCCTGCCCCCCTTTTCTTTGTCTCTCTCTCATGGGATGGATGATAGATAGATAGATGATAGATAGGTAGATAGACAGATGATTGATTGATTGATAGATAGATAGATAGATAGATAGATAGATAGATAGATAGATAGATAATAGATAGATAGATGCTAGATGATGGACGGATGGATGGATGGATGGATGGATGGATGGATGGATGGATAGATAGATAGATAGATAGATAGATAGATAGATAGATAGATAGATGCTAGATGGATAGATTGATAGATGATAGATTATAGATGAATAGATAGATAGGTAGATAGGTAGATAGATAGGTAGATGACAGATAGATAGATAGACAGACAGATAGATAAGGAAAGAAAAGGGAGGGCAGGAGAGAAGAAGTGGCCCAGTGATTAAGGGAGCCAGATCCCACAAGGCTGACACAGTTTGAATCCCAGCTTAAAAAACATGCCAAATGCATGTGCATGTAAGCCCCAAATTCCAACAGGAAGGAGAAATGGAGGAGAAGGAATCACAGTATGACCGTGCTCCAGTGGGGATGCTTTCTCCTTCTCCCTCATTCTCTATCACTCTCTGTGAGCACATGCACCCTCTGGCAAATTTTTTTTAAACAATCAAAGGATTTAAGAGCATGTGGAAATAATTCTCTGCTTCAAAGAGCTTCCCCTGGGACCAACAGTTAGCATAATGGCTATGTCGCTAGACTCCCATGTAGTCGACCGCGGTTCGGGTCCCGGACCTGGTGGCTTAAACCCACTCCGGGCACGTGTGCGTGCGTGCCCAAGATCCCAAGAGGAGAATGGAGGAGAAGGAATTACAGTGTAGCCATCCCCCCTGGGGGGTGATTTCTCGCTTTCTGTCTCTCTGTCTCTCTGTCTTTCCGGCAAGCGCACGTGCCCTATAGCAAAAACCTCTCAAAAAAAAAAAAAAGGGGGCTTCCCCTCAGGTAGGAGGATAACGTGCAGCCTAGCACTGAGTCACTGGACAGATAGTGGTTTTCTATATCATATCACTGAGGGAGTCTCTGGTTTATGAAGTCAAAGTGGGAACACCCAGGACTTAAGTCTGCATTAGGTAGGTGCTCAGTGTCCACTCATGTGCCTTATAAATAATGGCAGTTCTTTGGCATCTGATGTCAGATTACTTTTGCTCCTGTCCGAGTGGTGAGCACGTGGGTTCATGGTTGAATATGGGCACCTGTCACATTCATCAGAGCAGGTCCTTATGTTGAAACGAGTCAGAGGCGGAACTCTACCATCCTACACATTGTACTGTGCTGCCTTTTCTCTTGGTCTAGAATCCAGCCCTTCCTGTGCTTGCCCATTTTCCCTTCACACCGCCTCTCTCTACCCTACTGCATAGATCTTTTCAAATCCCAAATATCTACCTGCATACTCACACGACAGTGCCTGTTAGGGTCATCTTCCATTTACCCGCCAAAAATCAATCATTCAGAATCTGTTGTGCCTATAAAGGAATACCAGAAACACCTTAAAGTTATGTTGTGTTTATCATCTTTTTTTTTTAAGTTCAGTTTGGGGGAATGATGAAAGAGAATCCACAGAGACTCTGAAGAGTAGGCATGGTCACCGTGCAGCCTTGAACAGTCCTCCTCCCTGACAGGGGGTGGTCACTTACATAGGAATTCTCACAGGCTCCTACATTTTATTTTTATTTACTGGGTCCTCGAGAAAGGCATGACACATTCTTGTATAGAAAACCTGAAAAATATGTCATAATTTCCTGACAACCTAACAGTTTCTTTGTTTCAATTTATACAAATTGTTGCTAATATACTGATTTGCAATTTTGCTTAATTTTTCTATCCATCCTTAAAATGAATCTACTTTACAGGCTCCTAATTTTTTTTTTTTTTAAAGAGAGGTTTTTGCTATAGGGTGCGTGTGCTCACCAGAGAGACAGAGACAGAAAGTGAGAAATCGCCCCCCAGGGGGGGATGGCCACGCCACAATCCCTTCTCCTCCGTTCTCCTCTCGGGATCTTGGGCACGCACGCACACTTGCCCAGCATGAGTTTAAGCCACTGGGTCTGGGACTTGAACCGCGGTCAACTACATGGGAGTCCAGCGACATAGCCATTACACTAACTGCTGGTCCCTAGGCTCCTAAATTTTAAAGGAGCTCAGAGTTTTCTTATTACTTAGCTGTAAAAATAGGGCAAAAAGAGCCCTGGCTCATGTTCAAAGAGAGTTGTGAGCTCAAGCAGAGTGAAGGGATGGCTGTACGTCAGCTAAAGTATTTGTTCCCTGGCTCTTGAAAAGTCTTAGTTCTTAGATCCAAACTGAGAATTGTAAATATATGCAAATTATGGGGCAGGCAAAGCAGGTTCTTGTCTGTTTTTACATTTGCCAGTCATCCTTTTAATATCTGTTGAATTATCTCCTTAAGCTCCTAGGAGTTGAGTTTGTTATGCCATCTTTTTGAAATAGCCGATTGCTTTATTAGGTTTTTAAAGGAACACTCATAATGTCATTTCCATATGCCATTTTGTAAATTAATGCTATTTCCTTTCTGTTTAACTTGTTGGTAAGAAGCTGTTTTGCATTTCTGCCGTAGTTCAGAAGAGTACAGTTAATTCATCATTTAATTTGCAGCCTGATATGTAAAATGAATGTTTTTGACTCATTTAAATGACTAGATATTAAAGCAGCATTTACTGGGGAGATTCATGAGTGTGTGTTTTCTTGTCATTACCAGCCCTGGGATCCCGACACAGGCCAGACCTGGTCCCTAGCACTCCCTCGCTGTTCGAAGCTGCCTCCTTGGCGACCACAATTTCATCTTCCTCCTTATATGTCAACGAACATTATCCTCATGACAGGACGACGCTTTATTCAAACAGGTAATACTCAGCATGACCACATTACCAACCAGGCTGGTACGGTGGCATGTGAGGCCTGAACCCGTGTCCCTGCGTGAGAACACGTCTCTAACAACTAAGATGTGCCTGTCACCTGCCTCGTAAGTAAGAGGGAAAACACGCCTGGTTTGTATGGAAGCCAAGGTACATTTGAGGGAAAACCCTCCTGTTTTTTCTTTAGCGTTCATCATTTTGTCATATAAAAATGACCTACTTGGATCTAAGGAAAAAGACTAATCTTTCATTTTTTATTTTAGTAATTTCTTATGAATGGATTTTTAAAATTTTTGAATTTTATTTTATTTTATACATTCAATCACTATCTATCATTACAGCTTGTACAGTGAATTTACCCAACACGAATATACTTCACACCAGTCCAGTTGACGATACTATACACATTATCATCAATAGATAATCATCCATTTCTGTGTCCCATAAATGTCTTGCCTCTCTATTTTTCTCCTTGGTTCCTTTCCTTTCGCTTTCTCTGCTTCTCCCCCCTCTCCCACACTGTCTCCAGTATCCATAACCATTTTCCATGATGAATGGATTTTTTTTAAGCAAGCACTCTTGGTTAATATGACACAGACGGCTGCAAAGACATTTTAATCATCGCTTTTTCTCTGTGTGACCTTAGTGGCTATGGTAACCAAATTATAACACCCCCCCCCAAAAAAAGTTGTCCATTCCTAATTCCTGGAATCTGCACACATATTACTTTCTATGGCAAAAGGGACTTTGCAGCTGTGATTAAGTTAAGGATGCTGAGGCACAGTATGATCACAGGGGCCTTAAAAGAGGGCGGAAGGAGGGTCAGAGTTAGAGAAGGAAATGTGACACCAGAAACAGAGGTGCAAGAGAGAAGGAATACATCCATGCTCCACTGCGGGCTTTCAGAGGAGGAAGGAACCTTGTGCCAAGGAACACAGGGCCTCTAGATGCTAGAAAAGGAAAGAAATTGATCCTCCCCTAGAGCCCCCATGAAAGAACACAGCCCTGCCAACAACGTGAATTTTAGGACTTCCCACCTCCAGAGCTGTAAGATAAGAAAGTGTTGTCATTTTAAGCCACCAGGCTTGTAGTTTGTTACAGCAGCAACAGGACACTAATACAGTGACTCTTAAACATGTCATGTGAATTTAAATATTGGGGTAGGTTGTAAAAAGGTCATTTTTATTTGGTCGTTTTCCTTTTAAACTAAATATTCTTGAACACTGGTTCTAGTGATAGAATATGACTTTTTGGGCTGGTACCACAGCTTACTTGTCAAGAAAACTAGAGTCCACAATTAAAATAATAATAAATAAATAAATAAAATTAGATAAATAATTATTTTAAAAAGGGGAGGACCAGCAGGTGGCATAGTGGTTAAAGCACTGGACTCCCACATGGCCAATGTCCCAGTCCTGGTAGCTTGAGGAACATGTTGGCACATGTGCATGCATGCCCAGGATCCTGATGAGGTGGAGAAATGGAGGAGAAGGGATTGCAGTGTGGCCATGCCCTGTTGGAGAGTGCTTCCTCCCTCTCTCTCTCATTCTCTTTTTTCTTTTTTCTTTTTTTTGGAGAGGTTTTCACTATAGGGTGCATGCGCTCACCAGACAGACAGAGAGACAGAAAGTGAGAAATCACCCCCAAGGGGGGATGGTCACGCCGCAATCCCTTCTCCTCCATTCTCCTCTCGGGATCTTGGGCATGCACGCACATGCACCCGGCGTGAGTTTTAAGCCACCGGGTCCGGGATGCAAACCGGGGTCTACTACGTGAGAGTCCAGTGACATAGCCATTACGCTAACTGCTGGTTCCCTCTCCCCTCTCTTTCTCTGTCAGCATGCTCACTCTCTGGCAATTAAAAAAAAAAGGCATCTTTATAAAGAGATCAAAACATTGTCTATGTGATTCAATATTTTCTATTTTTATATATCCAGTTTATAACTAACTTCAATTCTAGAGAATTAATAATTCTCAATAATTCTCTGCTAAATGTTAAGCCTAGTTCTTGTTGAAATCTAGTCCTCGGGAGTCAAGATCAGATTTATGCAGATAAAGTATTTATTTTACTATAAGTCACTTTTGACCTCCGGGCTAGCAGCTTGGTTTATTTCTAGAAAGAGGAATTGATATGGTAGACTTATTTTTAATAGGTGCGTATCTGTAGAGTCTTGCTTAGTCTTTTGGCAAGTTAAAGCTCAGTAGTTGGACCGGGTGGAATCATTCTGTTCTGTTGCTTTTCTACCCACCCCACCCCCCCACCCCGGTCCCTGCTAGATACTAGCTTAGGCAGGTAATAGGTGAGTCAGCCAGAAAGGACTAGGAAAGTGGGAGGAGTGGCAAGGTGAGCCATGAAGCTTAGCTAGCCCTGAATTTATTCCACTCTAAGGCCAAACAGACTAGGCTCCAGTATAAATTATTTAACCTACCTAAAGTATATTAAAGTCTTTGATCTGGTTACCTCCCTTGGCCTGGAGAAATTTGAAGTGACTTAAATTAATGTGTACCACCTAATAACATATACCTTGAATGTTCAAATTGGGTAAGTAACTTACTCAAGCCACAGTTTTTCCTCTCTGCTTGGTGCAGACGAACACATCACTCCAGATAAAGTTCTTTTTTGCTCTGAAATGTAAATAATAGCTCAAAAGATAGCTGGAAAGTCACAGGAAATGCTTGGCAAGGTCAAAAATAATCCTCTTGTGAAGCCATGGTAGTTTCTTACAGTGTGCTACTGTGATAATTCTCAGGAGCATAGCATTGAGCATGTGTTTTAGTCATTTACTGAAATTTTCAGCAAAAAAATAAAAGTACTTGTGTGTGTGTGTGTGTTCTTTTGGTGGCAGTAGTGGGGATGGTGGTGAAGTGTCCACCCTGGCCAGGGGTATTAAGCTTTCAGATCTTCATAAGGTTTTGCTGGGGTCTGATGCATCCTGATTCCAGTCCTCCCTGGCCCACCTGGAAGCTTTCTCTGTATGTTTCCAGAGCTGTACTATCGTTCTTGGTACTTGTATCGATGCCGACACTGCCTAGTATGTAGATTTGGATGAGAAAAATGAAAAATCATTTACCTATCATATATTTTCTTTCTTTTTAAATTAATTATTTTAAATAAGTTTTTCTAAGTATTGTATCTCCAAGTCGTGAATACCTAATATTTAGCTATTAGTTAGAGTGCAATTGCAAAAACAAGAAGGGATTTAATCCAGGGAGTTGGATGCTTACAAAGTCTATGGAAAGGCTAAGGGTATGAGTGTGGGTTTGCCTCAAGAAATCTGTACTGGAGCACACCTCTGAACTGGTCCACCAGCAGCGCTACAGCCTGGGCCACAATCACACAGGGGCCCTGCCAATGGGATATAACTTCAGGGGAAAGCACTTCCATGAACCCAGAATGATTTTGTTTTATTTTTAAGAATTATTTACTTAATTTTATTTACTATTATTATTTTTTTTAATTTGCTGTAAGACATGTACACTCATCAGAGAGAGAGACTAAGTGAGAAATGGTTTTAGACATGCAATACACATGCATACACACCTGAAGTGTTTTTCAAGCCATTGGGTCCAGGACTTGAACCATGTAGTTGACCACGTTGGATCTAGCTGTCTTAACCACCATGCTACTGGCTGACCCAACAAAGCTCAGATTTTTTTTTTTTTAAGTATTTGCCATAGGGCATGTGTGCTCACCAGAGAGAAACAGACAGATAGAAACAGAGAGAGGGAAAGTGAGAGATCACCTTCCAGGATGATGACCATACCACAATCTCTTCTCCTCCATTCTCCCTCAGGATTTTGGGCATGCACACACATACCCTGCATGATTTTCAAGCTGACATATCTGGGACTTGAACACGGTAGACCATGTGGGAGTCCAGTGCCTTAACCACCACACCATCTGCTGGCCCTTCGAAGCTCAGATCTTAATCACTGCCCCTTAGGAAAGTCACAAAGAAAAGAGGCACACTTCCTGTGCAGATAGCAGGCCCACAAGCATGGTGAACGTCCCTAAAACCCGCAGGACCTTCTGTAAGAAGTATGGCAAGCACCAACCTTATAGAGTGACACAGTACAAAAAGGACAAGGATTCTCTGTTTGCTCAGGGAAAGTGGTGTATGACAGGAAGCAGAGTGGCTGTGGTGGACAGACTAAGCCTATTTTCCGGAAAAAGGTAAAAACTACAAAGAAGATTGTGCTGAGGCTTGAATGTGCAGAGCCCAACTGCAGATCTAAGAGAACACTGGCTATTAAGAGATGTGAGCATTTTGAACTGGGAGGAGATAAGAAGAGGAAGGGTCACGTGATCCATTTCTAAGCCTCATCTTTTCTATTATGAAGACAACAAAATCTTGAGGTGAATGTTCACCTCATTTGATTACAGTTGGTCTATTTGTAAGGGAATAAAGTAATCAATAAAATTCCCCTTTCGGGGAAATTTGATTCATGGTACTACTAGTTTTGGATTAAATCTGACTGGCTGAGCTCACATCAAAAAAAAAAAAAAGAAAGAAAGAAAGAAAAAGAAAAGAAAAGAGATGGGAATCAGCAGTTAGCGTAATGGCTATGTCGCTGGACTCCCACGTAGTCGACCGCGGTTCGCGTCCCGGACCTGGTGGCTTAAAACTCACGCCAGGCGCGTGTGCGTGCGTGCCCAAGATCCTGAGAGGAGAATGGAGGAGAAGGGATTGCGACGTGACCATTCCCCCTGGGGGGTGATTTCTCGCTTTCTGTCTCTCTGTCTCTCTCTGTCTGGCTGGCGAGCGCATGCGCCCTATAGCAAAAACCTCTCCAAAAAAAAAAAAAAGAAAAGAAAAGAGGCACAGAGGTGCCAAAGAACCAGAAGAATAATGGCATTCAAACTTCTGGGAGTCGGTGTCCCTGTTTCCCCAACCACCATACCCAGTCCTAATTATCCAAAAGGAAATCTCGTCAGCAAACTATAAAGTCTTATCTTTTCGTTTCTAGTACTCTTCCTTAGAGTCCTC